GGGGGTGGGGGGGGGGTGGCCCTGGGGTCTGGCGCCGGTTGGCCGTAGCAGAACCTAACCCATTTCCGAATGTATTTGCGCAACACTTGTTTTCTGTATATTTAGCTGTACCTCGCTTAGCCTACGTAGACTGCACCTTTTTATTACAAATCCTTTCCCCTAGCCATCGATGACCAGCTTGATGCCGAGTAGACTTTAGACAGGCTGCCCACCGGGCTAAAGTTGCCACAGTTGCCCAGAATAACATTGTACGCCTTGTCGTGGTTGAACCGCTGCACCCCACCAATGAGCGGGTTGTAGATCTCCCAGTGGCAGTCCCTGACGCCGTCGCTGGCCATGTTTGCAATGTGGCTGCACGCCATGTCGATGTCGTAGTGGTTATCGTTGCAGAACACGATGGCCGAGTAGCTGTTGCACGTGGTGCGCACGCACTGGCGCGCGTTGACGAGGCAGCGCGACACGGAGCGCAGGTGGCGGATCCCGCTGTCGATGTCCCACACGGCCACGCCGCCGTAGCGGTGCTGGTTGCAGTTCGTGCTGTAGCGGTCGTTGCGCGCCTCGAGGCTGGCTCGGGCCTCGAGCTCGGCGTCGATGTTGACGAACTTATCACCTTCATTGGGCACGGCGCCGAGGGTGCTGGAGGCAGAGGTGAAGTTCATGCTGCCGTCGAAGAGGGACAGGCCGGGGTGGTCGGCGCCGATCTTGGTGTTGATGTCCTCGAGGTCGGAGCCCTCCTAGATGACCTCGGCGCCGCCCTCGGTCACGGGACCGCGCCACTTCAGGGGGCCGATGGGCAGGGGGGTGGCCTCGTCGGCCCGCTGGACGACGAGGGCCTGTTTTTGGTTGGAAAAATTGGGTGATTAGTAAATTCCTTCGTATCTCTTGTCCTAGAGGAGCGCGAGGACGTGGGGGATGATGCTTACCTGACTGGTGCCGGCCAGGGTGGTGGCGATGAGGGCAAACACAGCGGTCTTCATGGTGAATTGCGAGGTCCGGCGGCGGAGCTGTGTTGTGATGTAGTCTGAGGGAGGTGGTTCTTGATGGCTTGCAGACGTTCCTAGTGTGAGGTGAGGAGGAGGGATAGAGATCTTGTTCTCGACAAAAGGCGATGAGCAGCTCGTTTTATAGGCAGTCAAACCAATCGACCATCACTGTCCCCATTCTCGACAGCCCAAAGAAACATCGCGAAGTCTCGCAAGGCCGACCGCCCAGACAGTCACCGACGACCGTGTTGTCCGAGCTAATTGCAAGGCCACAAAAGTGTAGCTATCGCCAAGGTGTCAGGATCGTGAAGGCGGCAGCCAAACGGCAGCCAAGCAGAAGAGCTGCCTGCTAACCGTGTGGATTTGTTGATAGCTTCATTGCTCGCACTTCGCTTATCGGACTCCGATATGGGAGCTCCTCTACCCCAATTCCAACGACGAGGCCTCACCATCTCTGAGGTGCACTTAAGCTGCAGGCTGGGGTATGCGCGTCGAGGTGGGCCGAGCCGTTAATGCCCAGCTTTTTGGAAATTGGTCGCATGTCAGCTTACAGAGGTTCGCCCCTGGAGCCAAGCCTCGGCTCGATCCGAATTCGGGAAGCGCACAATATGGAGGCGGGGAAGTCCCCAACCGAGTGGGTCCTTCTCGCGATCCTGCCTGTAAAGCTGCTGCAGACCTAACGATAACTCTGCTCCCCAGTGTCGTCCTTTTGTCGGCATCGACTCCTAGGCCGGGAAGCTGGAGGTGCTCGGAGAGAAGCCCGCGGGCGCCTATCCTCCTGTCGCTGTCGGTTAGCATCAGGGCTTTATGCAATTAATATGTGAAGGATTTTACTCGTGGGGTTTCTTCTGCTCGAGCTATTGTTGATAGGCTGCCGAGTTGCCACTGCGTTTTTCGACATCACTCGGGCGAGATGGTGCCAATGATGCTGGGCTAATGTGGTGTAACCGCGGGTTGACCAGTGGTTTGCCTGGCCAAGTCACCTGGATCACGCCACGCATGTATGACCAAGTGTGCGCGGGGCAGCACAGCCCGCTCCGATGTCCGATGCGGTAAAACCACCTGGCCTCCTGCGCATAGGTCTCTCGTTGCTCGCTACGAAAGGCAGCCCTACTTCGCGAACCGTCTGCCCCAGCAGTAGCCATGCCTGACATCTCGTCTGTCTGGGGAGGCAGTTCGTCCCTTTTGGTTGGGGCGTCAACCATGCCCAAGACTGGGGCGGCTGAGAGCGACGACAACCAAAAACTGCCTACTCCGACACTCGACCACGTATCTCAAATTTTCGAATTTGTCGCTGAGCTTGGGGTACCTTCGTTCTAGGCACTACCACGAGAACGCATTTTGCGCTTCGATGAAAAAGCCGGGGGGTCGGCGGGAGCTACCTTCGGTGACCTCCAGACGCTCGGGCCGGGGGCGACTTGCACAGTAGAGTTGTCGCCCGAGCCAAAACAATCTTCGTGATGGACAAACCTGGTTCGCCCTGACTGCGCCGATGACTGGGAGCCTATAATGGGGGTGAGGGAGCAAAAGCAAAGCAGCACCCCGCAATTTCAGCTAGCCAGATTTACCTCCGCTCCTCGTTCATCACTGAGCCCTCCCAGCCGCCTTGACGCCTTCCCGCCTACCTACTTCCATCCCTACCTACCTATTTACCTAACGAGCCACGAACGAGGCATCGCAATGGCGTCCCTGTGCGAAAGTGTCTACTCATCTTCTAGATCGGACCCAGTCATCAAGCAAACATGCGACTACTGTCTAAACGCTTAGCCTTATGTGAAGCTTATGACGAACAATCTGACTATACCATTACGATTACCTGATCTCCATGGCGCTCTAGCCTTGGCATATTTAGGATCCGCGCCCAGCTGGCGTTTTATTTCCTGCTCAACTGGCTAGCTTCGGCGATTCATCCTGCTACTACCCAGGTTAAGTATATACCCAAGATGGCAGATAGGACGGACAAGCTCAAGCTGGGGGATAAGTCCAGTTTGATAGGTTATAAAAAGTGTTGAGTAAATTTACAGACGTAAAAAGTCTTGCTGCAGTCCCCTTGCGGTTTCTAGGCTTTTCAAACGGCAGATGACGGCATCTTTTCACAATATGAACATTTGGGGGCAAGGGGCTGGGGACAATTCACATCGACCTCACTTTTGCCTCACCCGATCCCCTTCCTAGCAGCACAGTCTTCGGCCAGGTGGGGCATGTAACGCCAACCTTCTCTGCAACCGTTTTATTTTGCTTGTCGATTTTTTTCCTTGTTCGTCTCAAGTACTTCCTTCGAAGCCGGACCTTACCACGCCATCAAAACCCTTTTATTGACAATGTTCCTTCATTTTCACTTCGACCTTTGCCTCGAATTTCGTCCCGACTATTGTATCGGCCCCCACTCCCGCTCCCACACGTGCCCAGGCCTGCCCTCCCCCCAGTGCCTCAGTTCCCCAGCGAAGTCCGCCCACTTCGCCATGCCGCCGACGGTAAAGGAGGCGGCTCCGCTCACTGTCCTCGTGACCGGAGCCAACCGGGGCCTTGGCAAGGCTCTCGTTGAAGAGTTCAAGCGCCTGGGCGACGACGCTTACGGCGCCCACCGGCCGGAGTGCCCGCAGAACCAGGCCACGGTCGCCGGCCGCAGCGATATGAGCAAAGACAAGAAAGCCCCCAAGGTCAAAAAGGCTGAATACCTCGAGGTCAGCAAGGGCCAGCACAACCTTAACTTTTGTCGCATTATTGTCGACGAGTCCCAAAACATCAGGAACCCCTCAAGCACCAACCATCGAGTCATCCGGCAACTGCTGAAGATCTTTCGCTCGTTCGGCGGATGCACCGCCACGCCCACGATCAATCGTGTCACGGACATCGTCGGAACTTCGGCTCTGGTCTGGCAGGTGTCTCGGCTTTCCGAGTACCTAACGCCCCCTGACACTTTGTCGTTCGTGCAAATGGCCAAGCGCACTTGGCTCCATCCAGAGGACGGCGCGAAGTCTTGGTTCGGCCAAAAGACTCCCCAGGAAATCAAGGCCAGCCTGCGCATCTGGCAACAACGTGGCTTCCGGTGGTGGCTTCTCCACCCTAAGGCCCAGCGTCAGATTGTTGATGCCGACCAGCCAACAAAGATTTCTTTGAAAATCTTCGAAGCAACGAACATGTACACATGCCGGCGTGGCATGGATACAGCGCTCCACCTTCCCAACGGCACTGTCACGTACCCGCGCGAGAAGATCCCAGCGCACACGATCGTATCCGAGGACCTGGCTTATCGTTTCTGCTTCCAGGAGGTGTCCGAGGCCACAGAGGCAATCCTCAAGAATGTCTCTTTCCCGTCGAAGCACGACGGTGACACCAACCAAACGGCGGACGCGGTCAGCGGGGGCGATAACAGCGGAGGCAACCCCGCTGCGTCAGACTCGAAGAAGGCCAACGAGGGGTTGAGTTTGTCGCTCGTCCGGGCGCTCTGCTTCTTGGCGATGGATTACAACTCCTATCGCATGCTGACGTCGGACGACGCGATAACGTCCATGGCTTCGGAGGACCTCAAGGCAGCGCTGGCCAACAGCGGCGCTCACCCAGGTAACTAAAGAGAGGATAACACCCCGAATCAGTTTGAAAAAAAGGCATTGTGCTCACATCGATCTCCCAGCTTCACACAGCTCAAGGATATGCTTGGGGAAAATGCCCTGGAAATTGACCTGGCCGGTGTCGAGTCCATCGTCGGTGCCTCCATGGCATGGGGCGACAAAAAGTCGGACATTTTGATCAACAATGCCGGTAAGTGAAAATTATCAACTCTAGACTGCAACACGAGCTTTACCCGTTTGTGATAAGGTTTGATTTATGATCGCAGTCACTAACATATAATTATTCGTCCGTTTTCTGCGAAGTCTCCCATGAAACTAACTTCTCCTCAACGTGGCTACATCACTCTACAACGACCCGGCGGTAGAGAACGAATACCCAATGGCGGGTGAGAGGACCGAGGCATTCAATGCCAACACCTTGGTGAGTATCTGATACCTGGGTCCGTTGACTTTAATTAGTCAAGTTAGTGCTAACGAAAGACTGGAATCCAGGGGCCCCTTCTCCTTACGAAGTATCTGTTACATGCGCTGCAGAAGTCAACGGCAGGCCAAGTCATCAATATTATAGACAGTAAGCCCTAGCTCCTGTCGGTCTCGGCTACAGGAGGCTGCAACCTGCTGCTCAAAAGGCATAGAACGGATTCGCTGACACGGGGGTGACTTTGGCACTTTAGGAATAAGTGATGAAGAGTCCCTGGCGAAGCACGTGGCGTACCACGCCTCCAAAGCGGCAATGGAGTCAGTCACCCTCTCCATGGCAGCCATGCATAATAGCAAGGACATTAGGGTTGGGGTGGTCGGTATCCACCCAGGTACAGGTAGCTCGGATGTCGAAGATCGGGCCAAAAGGATTGTGCGCACAATTAAAAGACTGAGTGGGACGACAACTCAAGACTGATGGACTGGAGGGGCATGGACCTGACTGGGCCTCGCCGTCCCGAGTGACTATGTGCAATGTAGGGTCCTTCAAAAGCTCTGCATATTCCGTCACGACACGAACACAAGAATGCGAGAGAGGCAGGCCGTGCTAAGATATGGATTCGAGGGAGCGGCTTGGCGGCTTCCGGAGACGGATAACTGTCCAGCCCCTTTGGCTGGTAGTTTATGCGCGCATCGTGAACAGTGTGTGCTGTCAATAATCCAGGGCGACGAGCGGTTCCAGTCACGTGGACCGACACGCCTTACGACGTGAATTCGAAGTGGGAGGTGCGGGGCAGTGGACTGCGTGTTAAGTTTCGTCTCGTGGAAAAGATAACCCTTAGCATTGTTGTGTTCTTTTTTTTTGAAGCCGAATCTAAGGCGTCAGTACAGAAGCCCTAGCCGTACTTAGAAATTCGAGGTGCCGTGGGAGCTGAGCTTTGCCTGGGTGGAGGGGTGGGCGGCTTTGTAATCGACATCGGCTGCCCTCGGCTGTAATCCGGTCCCTTTTGCAGCTCACAGCCACGTGCGCGTGGGAGTCTGGGATTGTTGGTAAGGCTGCGATAAGGGTGGCATAATCGAGCAGGAGGGAGAGAGAAAGAAGGAGAGAAAACCCCGTCGCCCGACAGCTGTCGGCCTGTCGCAGCCGCGGAAGCGACTTGAGCGGGCGGCAAAACAGCAACCATGCGGCTTATCAACACCCGAACCCTCCGGATCCACGACTTCGTGGGGATGCGGGTGCCGCCGTACGCGATCCTGTCGCACACCTGGGGCCGCGGCGAGGTCACCTTCCAGGACTGGAATCGGCCCGACGGTCGGCACCGCGAGGCCTTGGCCGGGTACCCCAAGATCGCGGCGACCTGCGCCCGGGCGCGCGAGCGGGGGCTGGACTTCGCCTGGGTCGACACGTGCTGCATCGACAAGACGAGCAGCGCCGAGCTGAGCGAGGTCATCAACTCCATGTTTGCCTGGTACCGCAACGCGGCCGAGTGTTTTGGGTACCTCGAGGACGTCGAGGATCCCAACGTGGAGGCCGTCGTCGCGGAGCCAAGCGGCGTCGGAATGGCAGGGCGCGTCGGCTTCTCCGACAGCCGGTGGTTCACGCGCGGCTGGACGCTGCAGGAGCTCCTCGCGCCGCACGACATGAGGTTTTTTACCCGGGATTGGGTGCCCATCGGCCGCAAGCTCGACATGGCCGAAAAGCTCGAGAGCATCACCGGCATCGATAATAAAGTGCTCGAAGGCAACGAGCCATTGGGCCGTGTTAGTATAGGCCGCCGCATGAGCTGGGCTGCCAACCGGCGGACCAGCAGGCCCGAGGACCGCGCGTATAGCTTGCTGGGTATTTTTGGCGTCAACATGCCGCTAATTTACGGCGAAGGGGCGCGGATGGCGTTTCGGAGGCTGCAGGAACAGATACTGGCGCGGTCCGACGACCATACTATTTTCGCGTGGCGCGCATCGGCGACTGACGAGCAGGACGAGGCAGAACAGGACGGCGCCGCCACCGCCCCCTCCACGACCAATAAGCACGCGTCCGGGCTCCTCGCGACGGGGCCGTATCAGTTCCGCAACTTCCTGAACCGGCCCGGGACCAACACGGGCCTCGCGGGCAGCGTGGCGTCCGAGGGCGACCCGCTCGACAACATCGTGCGGGTGTGGGACGACACGGCGCCGCAGGAGCCCATCACGCTGACCAACAGGGGCATCCGCATCACGGGCCGCGTCGTGGACCTGGCGCCGGGGTCGAGGCGCCACGAGCTGCTGGTCCTGGTCCTCAACTGCTCGCCCGGCTGGAACCCGCTGCTGATGACGGGCATCTACATCCGGCGCGAGCGGGGCGTCCAGTACTCGCGCCTGCGGCCCGACGAGCTGGTCGAGATCGAGGTCGGCGGCGACGGCAGCAGCGGCGCCTCGCCCTGGCTCCAGACGCTGACGCTGTACGGGCTCGCGTCGGCCGAGGACGTGCGCGGCCACAGCTACGTGCGGCCCTGGACCTCGGCCGCCGAGATCCGGCTCGAGATGCAGCAGGAGAGCCACCTGAACGCGCTCGGCCTCGGCCGCCTCAAGGACGTGGAAAAAGAAGAGGAGGAGGAGAAGAAGCAAGAGGGCGGCGAGGAGTCGGTGGTGGAGATGGCGCCGGCGCCGGCCACGATGACCGAGGTCGGCGTCGTCGAGCGGTACAGCAACGCCTTCTACATGAATGAGGGCTGCTTCAACCCGCGCGTCCTGACGGGGGGCGGGTCGCCGTTTGGCGGCTACGCGTTGCAGACCATCCTCACGGGCACGTCCAAGGGCCGCTACCGCCTGTTCCGCTTCGACCCGACGGAGCGCGACGACCTGGTCATCAAGAACCGCAGCGACTTCCGCGCCGTCCTCACCTTCACGTCGTCGGGCGACCCTTCCCACGTGCTCCTGGTCCTGCTCGCCACCAACGAGGTGCCGCTGACGGGCAGCAGCAATGAAAGAGGCGACGACAGCTCGCCGCCGAGGCAGGGCCTATGGTTCAACGTTGTCAAGAGCACGCGCCGCGACCAGTGGACCAAGGTCGGGCTCGCGGCGGGCTCGGACCCGACCACGGCGCTGGACCCGGAGAGCCTGCTCCTCGGGGCCGCCCCCGTCGATCCGAGCAAGCCGCACCATTCGGTGACGGTAAAGGTGTCGGGGGACCTGCTCGTTACGGTGCGCGTCTGGACCAAGGCGACGTTTATCGGCCTACCCATGCAGCACATCGAAGTGATAGGGCCATGGCCAGCCGAGGGTGCGTGGCTTCGGCGGGGCCTTGGCTTGGTGGGAGCTGTGGGGGTCTTTGCGGCGTCGCCAGTCCTGCTTTATGTTATGCTGAGTCAATAACAAAGCGTTAAGCTACGCTGATATTCAGCATGGAACCACGGTGACTTGCACCAACTCGTAGCCTGAGAATGGCGCAAAAGCAGGCGAACACAGGTGGGGGGTTTAATATTGCGTTGATGCGGTAAACCATCCTTATACAAAAAGCGAGGACATAAGGTGTGTGGGGGATCGCCTTAAGCAGGAAAGAGTCCTTGCTGCATCATCCGCCACGCAATGACGACGCGGGTCTCGTCGCCCACTTGTATCTGGCCATCTCGGTGCTGTACAGGGGGGTCCTGCCGCTTCTGAGCCGGCGCCCAGGGTTGCCTGTCGCGGAATATCGCAAGATAGAGCGTGGCTACAGCTCACTGGTTCTATAGTCTCACAGTTATGGCGCCTCGAGCGGGAAGGTAGACCTTTCCCTCCAACACTCCCTGGAACTACGACAGATCACGCTCCGGCTCCTCGTCAGCATATGCACCGCGATCCTGGACAGTAAGTTACCATTCAATACTCGGTAGCTGCTGCTTTCGCCTTTTAACAAAGGATAGGACTTTTGCCCCATGCGGGCCTGAGCCAGGACGCCTCGCTGGAGCAGTTTCAGGAATATGCTAGAATTACCGTCGCCCAAGTCCTCGCCGCCCTACCCGAGATCGACGACGGTTCCGGCACACAGTCTACAGAAGTGAAAGGAGGCCAGGCCTTGGAGGATAGCATCCCGAGAATTGCTTCCAACATCCGGACGCTAGTGCAGCCTTGGCAGACCTCGGCCCGCTCTACGAGGGACCGATAGCGGACGTCGGGGCTCGCCAAGAGTCGCCAGACCGGATGGACATCACGACTCCGGTGGCAAACCTGGTGTCGCTAATCAAGTACATATTCCCCCAATGTGACTCCGCAGTTGCCGGGGGCATCGCAGAGGCTGTTCTCGCTACATGGTGCAGGATCCAAGGAAAACGCCCCAAAAAGCAAGGAACAATCGAGCAAACGGCAGCCCCAAAAGGAGCACCACAAGCGCAAGTTTCGTGAGAAGTGGGCGAAGGAGGAGGAGCGTCTGCTCCCAGAGGCCGAGGAGCGAGAGAATCGCGACGAGGCGAGGAAGGAGGGGCGTGCCAATATCAAGGCCCTGCGCAAGCCACAGTGGCAGGGAATGACGGAAATGGCGGCTCTGCAGGCTCACCCCGAGAAGGAGGCCCTCGAGCGGCGCAAGCGGGAGAAGGAGAGAATGTCCGCCCCACCTCCTGCAGCAGCGCCGCAGAGGGCCGCAGAGTCCTCCGACGGCGAAGCCCCTGGCCCGGCGCTAAAAAAGGCAAAGACGCTAGTCGAAACGTTCGTCCATGATTCCAGCACCGGGACGACAATAAGCTCGTATGCCAAGACCGTTCGATCTCACCATATGACCTCTGATAGCCCGATCGGCGTCCAGCTCCCACGAATGCCAGACGAGACGGAGGTGGGCGATTCTTTCCGCTGCGAAGCCTGTCATTGCTCCGTCTGGGCATCAGGCGAGCGTGCATAGAAGTGAGTCCTGCCTTTCCCTCGTTTAGTAGTGGCCCCCCCTGTAAAACCGCGCCTAGCAATACCCCCTTTTAACATCTCCCCCGGCACAGAGAGCACCTCATTCGTGATGCTCGCCCTTACATGTGCGTTGAGCTCTCCTGTCCCAGGAAGTTCCAACCATATGCTACCAGGGAGGAATGGGTCGCGCATATAGACGAACACTACTCCACACGCGCGCCCAAGCGATCCGCGGAGCGGCTCCGTTGCCCGATCTGCGGGTTCGTCTACCCCGGGGCTGACATGGGCATCGGCAAAATCGCCACACATCTCTCACGCCACCTCGAGCTCATCGCCGCAGTGGTGATCATCCCAGGCGTCACTCTCACCGGCCCGGACGAGGGTGGAGGCGGGGCCAGCACGCCCGAACGCGAGCCTGGGAGGAGCGGGAGAATGGACGTGAACGTGAACGTACTTGACGAGAGCTCTGAGGCTGGCAGGGACAAGGGAGATTCCTCTACCAGCTTTAACCCGGGCCACGCGCAGTTCTAGTCAGAGCACCAGACTACGGCTGGGCACGTTTACTATTTCGAGGCGACGAGTTGCACCTCGCCATGTGCCAAGCCGGAGGGCAAGCTCCCCCCATACGAGGTAAGTCAGGCTATCCGATGTTTGTTCGCGTCAACTTTTGGCCTCGGCAATATTGGTGCGACTAACAATCTTGGAACCAAAACCCACGTCACATCTCGTGAACCAGTTCTGGGAATCAGAAAGCATACCTGACGGCATTGTTTGGAATAAGTTTGATAAGACTTCTGAGAGGAACAGGGTACATAGCCTCATCGCCGAGATCCAATCACCCCTAGACCCATATCCTGGCTCTCCGTCGGCCGCCCAGTACACGGGTGTCGTGGTGGTTCCGGATACGCCGCCGCCAGCAGCGCGCGGCCTCGTGGGTGACACGGAACGGGGTGCCCAGACGGCAGACGGCGAGGCGCCCGTAATATACAAGCCGTCGGTTGACCGTTCACCAATTGGCCTAGAGAAGGGTGCCCAAATCGAGCGCATGGTAGGGGGTTTGATATTACATCGATGCGGTAAACTACCCTGATAAAAACGAGTTACTCCAAACTGCGGGTTTCTCCCCATAGCCCACCATGGTCAGGTCGCGCTCCTTTAATGTCCTTCCACATTATTTGCATCTCCTTGTGCATCTCGAACATGTAAGGGTCGACAAGAATGTTTTGACGGCCGAAGTCGGCATGGCGGGGGGAAAAAAAGACACTCATCACAGGCAGCCTCGGGTCTGCTGGGCCGGCTCAGAGGTTCCACTTCTGGTCAATCTTTGGGACGCCGGCACAGGCCGCGCCGGACTCGCGGCCCAGGTTGCAGTTCCTGTACGTCGAGAACTTGTCGCGGCTCGAGAACCACTCGCTGCTGCACGAGGGGACCTGGTTGAGCCTCTTGTCGCCGCTCAGGTTACACTGCGCGTGTGGGGGGGAGGGGATGGCTGTTGTTAGCGAACGGCGATGATGGCCCCCCCAGGTGACAGTCCCCAACTTGAAGAGAGGGACATGTATAGAAATATAGATGGTCAGGCAGGGGAGGGAAGTCCATTTAGGGCGGCTTACGCAGTGGCGGATGTTAAAGTCGTAGACGCAGCACGCGTTGCCGTCGTAGAACCGGCCGATATCGCCGCCCCACTTCGGGCACTCGAGCTGGGAAGCCCCCTGCGGGGTGGGCGACGCGGCGGAGAGGCCGGCGGCGGCGAGCGCGAGGGCGAGGCCGGAGAAACGCATTTTTGACTCTTTGTTGAGTTGGTGGGAATGGTCTTCAGGATTTGCGAAAATAAATGAGTGAATGCAACGAAAAAGGGTTGCTAGGCCGGAGGAGCAGTCAGGAAAACGAGCGAGTGAACTTGGGCTGCTGTGCGAAGGGTGAGGCACAAAGGACGGATGTGGTGATGGGGACGACGGGAGCTCGCCACTTTGTATCCTGCAAAAAACAGAGTATTCGGCCATGACATGACACGGGGACATGGACGGACGGGCCAGGGGCCGAGTCTCCCCTAACTTTACCTGACAGGCAGACGGCATGCCATCCAAAACGTAACCCCATGAGTGCGACACAGTAGGCGAGAACCTTAGTTCTTCGCTGTTGACAATGCGGAGGCCGGGGGAGCCACCTGTTAGGGAGGCAGAGTTGCGGGTCGCCAAGGGGGGTGATAGGAAAGAGGGACTGGAGATGATGTTCTGCGCTGCCGACTGGGGCTCTCCCCGGACACAAATCCTGAGGGTCCTTCCTATTTGGGACATCCCCGAACCCGGCACCACGATTAAGTCCATGATCTGACCGATTGGGCCCTGGGCATCGCCCCGGGCGGCCGGGCCATTCCATGACAATGTTCCTTGACACGCATCGCGCCAAGAAGGAGACGAAGATTAGATTCGCCACTGCGAGGCGAAACCCTGATCGCATTTGATGCTCGTATTCCTCGGCGTGTTCTGAGGCTAGCGCAATGGACAAGCAAGGAGATTCTCACCGACAGCCCCTGAGACCAAGAAACCTTCTCAAAATGGAGAAGAATCCAAAAGACAACCAAGGAAAAATCGAAAAGAACAAAGAAATGGATAGAGTACAAAGTGAACAGGTTTCGCAGGGCTCCCAAGGAAACCCAATCCGGAACCGTCACATCCCCCCCTTTCACAGCCCCGAGTCGTGCTGCTTGTGGGGGCTGGTGGCGTAGTACGCGGTCCACTGCGAGCACGTGGGCTCGATGGCGCTCAGCGGGAACGCCGATGGGATGTCCTGCACGCGCTCGAGGAACTGCACGCTCAGGCCCTGGGCCACGTGCCAGGCGATGTGGCAGTGGAACAGCCAGGCGCCAGGGTTGTCGGTGCGGAAGGCCACGACGATCCAGCCGTTGGCCGGCAGCATGGTCACGTCGCGTCGCACCGGGTTGTCGAACCGGAGCGTCGCCAGGTCCGTGGCCGCGTTGAAGCGCCGCACGGGGCCCGCGAACGGGTTGGTCTGCGCCGGGGACCGGCCGAGCAGGTAGAAGTCGTGCCCGTGCAGGTGCATCGGGTGCGGCGCCACCGTGGGGTTCTGGATGATCCAGAAGGACCACTGCGGCGGGGGAGGGTGCGTGTCAGCTGGCCCACCGTTTGGACTAATGAGGGTCCTGGACGAGGATGCGAGAATGCAAACAACATACCTGGTTGCCCTGGGGCACCTGGAACACGTTAAAGTTCTGCGGGAAGTTCATGTTGCCCTTTACTAGGTACTCGAGCGTGGGCTCGTCCCACGTGATGTTCATATCCGAGCCGTTGATCTCCCAATAGACGCGCTGCCGGCCCTCCCAGTTCTCGACATTGGTGTTGGCCTCGAGCGTGTTTCCAGGCACGGCACTGAAGGAAGCCCGAGGCACGTTCTTAGCCACGACTGGAGTCCATGAATTGAGATCCTCGCACAAGGACTCGGTCGGCGTGGGCCCGGGGTTGGTGGGCAGCGCCGTGTCCGAGGCGCCCTCGTACTGAAAGATGGATGCTGGCTTCTGGATAAGGCTGGTGCCGCATAGCCCGCTCGCGGCGAACGTGACGTTGAACCAGTAGTTGCCGACGGGCTGGTTGGCCTCAATAGTCACGTCGTAGCGCTGTCCGATACCCAAGAAGATCTGGCTGGTGGTGAAGGCGTTGACAGGTACAAAGTCCGTCTGGATGACGGTGAACTGGTGGCCAACAAGCGATACGGTAAAGGTGTTGTCGACGGACGTGTTGATGATGCGCAGCCGGTGGCGCCGGCCGGGCTTGAGCTTTACGCGGTTGTAGGAGCCGCCGCCCTGTGCATTGACGTGCGAGCCGTTGAACAGGATGTTGTCACTTGGGGGCGGGACGCCAGGCGACGGAATGAGCGAGAACTGGATCTCATCCGCGCCGCGGTAGTACCAGTCCGTGATGGGGTAGACGCCAAGGTCCTCCTGGTACGGCAGGGAAGCTGGGCCATTGAACAGCAACGTACCCACGACGCCGTTGCCATACTGCCCTGAGAAGTGCGAGTGGTACCTGTTCCCAAGTTGACTCAGATATTAATAGAAGGACTCTAGCCAGGCAGGTAGCTGTCGCCAGTACGTACCATGCAGTTCCGTATTGTTCGACCCGGAACCTGTAGACCTTGCTTGCGTTTGGAGGGATGGGGCACTCGGTGATGCCATTGGCCCCATCATTGGGATTGTTGTTGAGCATCCGAACACCGTGCCAGTGCATGGAAGTGCTTCACGGGATAATTCAGGCACGGTTAGTTTATACTCGAACAGGTAGCAAGACGACGTGATCCCATACCCGTTGGTCCTGAGTCTGTTGGTGACCGTGACCTCAACCCAATCCCCCCAGTCTGCTTTGATGATTGGGCCAGGGAACTGATCTTTATCGGACAGAGAGCGTTAGCATGGCCCGGCTGCGTCTCGGTCCCAGCGGCTTCCGACCAATACCAGACGTACTGTTGATCAGCATAGCCTTCGACTTGACGAGTCCATCACCGCCGACATAGTTGTCAACCTCGGTAACCACCAGGTTGTACTGCGAGCACCCGTGGTTAGTCGCGATGCCCCTAACAGCCGTTTCAGGGGGTGGATGCCCAAGGAAAGTAGAACGAAGCCGACTAACCCGACGCGTCACACCGGTGTTTGGCGTGTTGCTCTCGTAGTCCGTGTTGATGTCGAAGCCCGGAGACCAGCAAGCTCTGTTGGATTCGGTATTACAGGACTGCCGCTTGAGCAGTTCAACAGCTGGGCTGGCGGTCTCAGCCGGCTCACGAGGGAAGAGATCAAGGGACTCATCCCGCGAGGCAACAGGGGCAGAAGCGACCAAGCCAGCCAGGAGCGCAAGCCCCTTGATGAGGCCAAAAGACTTCATGCTAGGCGAAGGTGAGGGATGAGCACAAAGAAATGGCTGCTGCCGAGAGGAAGGGAAAGAAGGGAAGGGGAGTGATCTTGGGGGTCTTGGAGGGCCGTGGGATCCTGGCTTGGAGTGCCTGGGAGATGGAGGACGAAGGGAGGACATATGAGATGGAAACTCTTCATTATATATCGGGAGAAAACATCGCGGCCCGGCGTCCAAGCACCTCGGGGCATTGTTATCCCCCAGGGGCTCGCGAGCTGCGATTCGCCCGTGTCGATCATGTCCCGTTGTGGAAACCTCGAGTCTTACGTCCGAGATGAGCCGAACGAAAAGCAGAATCGATAGTTCGTGTGCGGGATGGACTTGGTGTGGATGGACTCGCGGAATATCAAAAAATGGAAGGAGAATATGGTAGAACTGAACCTTGACAAGGGTAAGGAGGGTGTGGTGTATGGCGGCTGAGCCTGAGATGACAGCTTCCGAGGGTGTAGACCGAAAACTGAACCTTGGAGTAAGGGCTCGTGATGTGGGTTACCCACCGTCTATGGGGTCAACATGGCCGTCTCGAGGCTTACCACACACCCTCCACCGACGAGCTTGAGTGGTGTGTAGGGGCAAGACAAAGGGCCGCTTATGGCCACAGAATCGATATCACGTCCTTGCCTAGTCTGCATGATGTGCGGAGTCGGCTATGACGGCGTGGCAAGACGGAAGGATGGCAAGTGTGTAAAGGAAGGTGCCCAAGGGTGATAGCTAGCCACCACCGAGCCCTTGAGATGCCGAGGGTGGCTTATGCTCCGTAGAGCGGCGGAATACTGAGGCTAACGTCTGGTGGTCATGTCTCGCAATGCGACTCTGAATTTGGTGAAGGGTGCCTGTATCAAGCCCATGCACGGATGGGACGAGGAGCTTGAGACGGGAACGGGTTGACCTGGGAGTGATTTGTATGTGTCGAACATATCGAACATGAGCTGGGAATTTGGAAAAGGAGGCAGCCAAAGGTGTACTACCAAACAAGGGGATCCTAGCCCATAAGCCCAAGAGGCACACATCGCTCGTTGCTTCCAGTAGACACGGCTTGAACACGACCAAACCAGCTCGTCGAATTAGTGGCCAGAGGCGTGGCTGTGGGTCTGTGCCAAGATCCTACAGCTTCCAATAGTCACATTCTCTTCTTCTTCTGCGTCGACTGTATTGAGCCATTTGACACTGCGCTGGAAGCAGGGCAGGCACATGAGGGTGGGGGGAATTTGTGCCCTAGCTGCAGGAGAGGTGCAGCATGGTATATAGGGATGGGCGACTTTAATCTTGCCCTAGTCCATGCCCGGGGGCTTGCTCCTCGGACTCACAAACGTAATGCACACAATTTTTTGGGGCGGCAGGCTGACTGGGGTACATCAAGGGGAGCGGTTGCACGGAATAGGGGCGTGCAGGGGAGAAGCGGGGGGCACAGATCGTCCTTGTTCCTGAGCATATAGTACAGCCAGGGATGCTAGGCTGGCCAGGTCAGACCGTGGTGATCGATCTGCAGCTTTCCGGCGGCCACTGGGCAGCCTGAGATATGTACTTCGCGGCAGCGAGCCTTCTATGCCTGTAAGGATAAGACGACAGATGTCAAAAGAGCAAACCGGGAATAACTAAGGAAGGGAGACTAGCCACAGGTCAACTTGCCAGACCTGCAAGGTCTCTCGCATCGCTCTCAGTAAATACGAGGTCAGACGCCGTCAGCCACCGAAACCACACGTGACTGGAAACCAGAAACATAGCAATGTGTGGAACGAGGATTGATGCAGGGACAAGCCGCGAGGGGTGTATATAACAGGCCGAAGGAACCGAAAGTTTGTTGTTAGTCGGGAACATGGCCGCGCCGGTATTGCCGTCGGGATTGGTGAGTGGCACCAGCCTTGCAGATATGGAAAACATATTGCGTGACCACGGCTCGTCCCCTTTGATACCCCTGACCCGGAAGCCAAGAATGCATGCTGCATATTGCTCCCCATGCCACGTGTGCTAATTGCCCGCCATGGGCATGTGTCGGTCATCTTGTGTGCCGCACCGCGCAGGCGTATCTGTGTTGCCTGCCTCTGGGTCACCTGCGTTGCGCCTTGATACGCCACTTGGGCGTTCTGAGCAATGTGCACCCACACGTGCATGGGTTCCTGCCCCATACCACGACCCTTTCAGGTCGCGCAGCTCGGGTGGCGGTCTGGGACGGGACGCACACGAGACCGGTTGACGTCCCTAACGATATCCTTGCCATTCTCTGCTCTCCAGCTGGACATAGCAGGCCTGATCAAGGCAGTTTGTGAGAACAAGACTGATGTGGGTGTGGCGTGAGATAGCCAGGGGGTGGAGGAAACTGCAAAACAATAAAACAAAAACATAAGAAAAGCCAGACTTGTGCTACGCCGCACGGGTCGGACTGAAGAAGTAGCCGCCGGATCAGGAAGCATGGGAAGGGTGTCATCGGTGATGCGCATGGACCACAACTTGCTTACCAGGCAATGGCACGCCGTGAACGCGAGCTGGGATTGGATTCCAGGGCATGGCCATCGAAGCGAGGGCCGGTGGTGTCTGCCTCCCACCATCGAAGCGAGGCCCCCTCAACATACCCTGCTGACCTAGATCCTGTCAACCTACTGCCCATGGGATGACCGGAGCCTACCGATACCAAAGAAGCCGTTGCACAGCCCTTCGGTGAGATTCTAGCAAGCTATCACACAAACACGCCTGCAAAGCAATCCAACTAGTCAAGCGGCAGGGTGCCAAGCAGCATGCCCTCAATATTGGACTGACAAAAAACAGGGCGCAGTTGTGATGGCGTTGCGGGCGCGCGTGTTTGTGGGTGTGGGTGTAGGTGCAGGGGGTCCAGCTTCACAGGAAAGCAGCCCTGGCGGGGGCTCGGAAGAGTCGCTAGCCCCGACTAGATGAACACCTCGCAATGGTTGAACAAGGGAGAGTGCTCGGTTACGGGACGGGCTAGGGGCGGAACGGCAGGAGACGACGGCGGCTGAACGCGGGAGCTTGCCAGCCAAAACCCCATGGCCGGAGCATTTTGCGGTTCAACCTGCCAGGACGGGGGACCCAGAGAAGGCTAAAAACCACAGGCGAGCTCGAATGAGTGGAGTTGTGAAGGTGCTAACCCAAAATGGCAAGAAGTTTAAGGCACTTTCTCGCGAGGATGCAGGAGCACGCAGCCGGCGAGCCCCAAGCCCTTAAGCGAGTGAGCGAGGAAATGCTATTGGGTCGGGTGGGAGGGTTCGAACTATCGATCCCTGCGCGTGAGCAAGAGGGGTGAACGGATGAGCCCGACATTGCATTTCCGAGTCCAGGTCATAGCCCGCCCGGCCTGCACCTGTGATGAAAGCAAGGGAGGATCTTGGGAGGGGTCATAACCGGGACGAGACAGACAAAAAGATGAGCGAAAGCTTCCACGATATTCATTCTCACCGCTTCGGGTTGGGAGCCCAGCCACATGTATACCTCTGATTACAAACACAAGGCCAACACCCACCGCGACTAGCGGGAGATTGCCGTTATCGTGAAGCAGCCTCGGGTGATCCGGGGGCAACCGGAGTCGGGGAGATTCTAGACGTAAGCATCGGGCTCGCGCCGAGGCTCGTATGTGGTTGATTACCGCTCCTTTCCGCAACTGCAGGAGGAAGGTGGGCGCGAGGACAGGCCAGCCGCGGCAGAGTCAGGAGGCAGAGCAGAGGATTTAGGGTGACGTGCGCGGAGACCGAGCTGAGCCAGGCCGACTTGACCTGGCCTTTGCGGCGGCTTGTGCCGCTTCTCGTTTGCGCTGCCCAGGTACTCGACCGACATAGAGGAGCAGCCTGGGCACCCCCCCATGCACTGATCCGCGGATGTCTGTTGGTGCGCGTGTGCTTGTGCGCATCAAGTGGGAGTTATTTGGCAGGAACCCGGGTTGTTCGATTCGACTTGGCCCGGCGCCAGATCCATGGAGTGCAGCAAGACGTCGAAGGCGTTAACGCATGGAAGAGGCTCGTGGTCAATATGGGTTGGTAAATCCTCCCTGATGGCGGGGTCACATTGGGCGTCGCGGGCGGCGGTGGCGGTGATGGAGGGGGTGAGAACCTAAGCGAGTCGGTGGTGGAGTCAAAGGGTTGCATCGCGTCGGTCGAGATGGAGGGGACGGAAACAAGCACCTTGGGAGCGGCGGCGTGTGGTTATAAATAACGCAACGCGGCCAGGAAGGCACGAGCTCAAGCGTGAACACCAGGAAGGCTTGAGGCAGGTGCGGCTGGAGACGCGGTGGCTGCAAAATTGACAATCCACCCCGGTTTATTGAGCGCCGGCTGGCCAATTGTGGTTGAGTTTGTGGGCCTGGGCGTCCTCAGCTCCCCTGGCCAGTCTGTCGTCGCTGTTTGCCCCACACCTCGCTGACGCTCCCGTTCCTGGAATGTAACAATGTGGTCACCAGTGACGACTCGGGGCGGACAACCGCCAGGGACAGCGGAAAACCAGGTTTCTTTCATGCCCCCTCCCCTCTCGCATATTCTGGCAATCGCATGGCCAAATCCATCCTACACGAATTCTGCTTGTAAGCTGGCGCCTCCAAAGTTACTGAGATGCTCTCCTTATCTCCAACACAGTTCCGAGCTGCAGAATTATTGGCATCGAGACCACATATAGCCCGCAGGTGGCCAGTATAGATACCACGAAAGGAATGCTACCAGCATAGAGGGTGGGTGGTGGTACCTAACTCTAGGTACACACCGGGTGATTGCACCTGTCAGATCGGATGGACGCGCCTTCACCAGATGGGAAACAAATGACACCGTTGCAATGGCACCTCGTGCACTAGAGAAGGGTCGTGCAACCAACCTTCGACCCTCGACCGGGTGCAGCATTACTGACCAGTCAAGGAACAAGGCCTCTGCTTCCGGCATGGACCCTCGACACGGCAGATAGGCACACGAGTGAATACGACGCCAAAAGGGGAAGGAAGAATTCCGCGTACCGTGCGGCCATGAACGTAGTAGCACCAATGCCCTCCATTTTCCAAGCTAAAACGGGCTGCCAATAATTCCCATCCTGAGGGGGTAACACACACACGTGGCCATGCAAAGCACGAAGACTACCACACTTTGCCTCGAGCTATCCCCTTATCCGACAAGAAAAATTGCCGTAAATTTTCCGACCGGCGGAAGATCTAGCGGGGCAGCGCGGGAGCCAACCGTCGTTTACCATGGCGCCTTGTGCCGTGCTCCACCAACAAGGCTACCTGGGCCGGCTTGCTCCAACGCTATTACAGGGTGGGCGACCATCCGGCTGCTTCTCGCCGCACCCGCAATAATGGTCTCAAGCAGGCTCGGCATTTGCATTTCTCGGACTCGTATGGAGAGAAAGAGCTCTGACCCGAGGCATGCATCTAGAGCATCTCACAATAGCATCATTCGGTGCGCCAATTCCATGGAGAACGATATGCCGATGAAAATACCTAAAAATAAACATGCGCAAGGCTGACACCGCAAGTCAAGTACCCTCGCTATATCTAGCCGACAGCGTGCCCGGGAGGGAGGGAGCTGCAACAAGGTCGCGACTGGCTGCGGTCGTTTCTCTCACACGAGCGTCTGGATAGGAGTTGATCCAAGCGTGATTGATGCTTGGGAGTGTTCAGGCTCATAATCTGCTCGCCGAGAGCCTAAAAGGCAAGGCTGTCTGTCGGCTTGACAACGGTGACCAATGCACTCAATGCTGCTCGAACCTGCTCATCCATGTGTAGTGAAACGCCACTGCGCTTGTTTCACATTAGCGCCTTGTCATGCGCCGAAGTCCAGGTCATCTCGCTGTTGTCGTCGTGCTGAGTGGGAGCGCGTCAGCCTGTTCGCGACCGTATAAGACCAAGCCAGCGGGCTGCAAAGTAACGCAGATAAATCCTTCTATGATTTTGCCAACGCCAACGCCCACCTCCTACTCTTCACCTCCATATTTGCAGACTCCGGATTACGGCAGCACCGATCAAGATGTGCGGCCCCGACAACTCGACCAAGCCGCGGGGTGGGGCGCTTGTGGTTCTCAGAAACGCCATGGCGCCGGAGGCAACAGACGGCTGCGCATGGTCCGGGGAGCTCAACTTCCACACTCCAGGCCAGCCGGAAAGCAGCATCGCGACCCACGTGAGGGTCACGGCGGGGGACGACAGCAGCCTGGACGCACTGTCGAAGGCCGTTGTGCTCATCCAGTAAGTTCAGGGGCGCATCCTGGCTTGTGCTTCAAGGCTTCGCCGAATTGTTGGAACGTGCCCGCAACTAACGGAATGGCGGCTCCAGCCAATCCGGGGATTTGTCGATGCCGGCTCGGGAGTGCGGCTTGCTCCGAACATTCGTTTTGGAGCATGCGGCGGAGCTCGGTAACGGTTCTGCGATGGAGCTCGAGCTGGCGACGCCGATGTCCATCCAGGTCGGAGATGACGGCATCATCGGGAGAAGGGTTAGCATTCTCGGGCAGGCAGCAGACTGGGGGGTCGAGACATTGGGCGCATCGATGGCGGAAGGAATTGTTGGATTCAACTTTATGTCCTCTTCGAGGGAGACGAGCCCGGACTCTTTGTAACCCGCGGTATGGCTCAATGAAAGTGCCTCGTTGGTGCCACTCTCTTCAATCTTGCTGGTATGGATTTCGAGTGTCGACGAAAAAAAAACACAGTGCACATACCTGGGCGTTGTGCTTAGTGGACCCTTAGGCCCACAATTTTCTAATGCCAGGTATATTACCCCTTTGGGAAGGTAAACCCTTTCAGCGATGTCAAGACATAACCAGCTCCACACAAATATCGAGCACGCGACAGTTTACACGGCCAGCGCCACAATCGACCTGACAAAAAGAAGAGAAGGACCGAAATCGCCATGGCAAAGCGCGGCGGCGCTGCGCCTCGCCTCCTTGCTGTCCTCGCCGAGTTAGGAAACGATTGGCATCCATGTCGTGCTGCGGCGTTGGGATTGGATAGCGCTGCAGACGCGCGTGGGACTGAACAAAAGGCCAGAACAATGGTCAACCGACCATGTAAGACCGGTAGCCCGACTTCAACAAAGAATCAAACCGTGTTGGGGTTGTGCCTTGAAAACGCATGGGGTCCTAGCCTCGAAACGCGTCGATAGCGCTCGGGCCGGGATCCTCATGCCGGCCTCCCGTTGGGTCTGGTCGTAACAGTGCTGCCGGCCGGGGGCGCCCCACGACGAGCTCAACTGCTGCTTTACGGGCGACGAGCCAACGTACAAGGGCCAGCGCAGCTGCGTTAACGACTGGTGGTCGCGCACCGCGTACTGGCAGCAGATGATGTACTGCAACACGCGCGCCTGGGCCGGCACGGTCTGCGATAAGGTCCCGGTGCCGCCCATCATGGCCAGGTTCCCCGACGAAAAGGTCGGTATCGACCATGCCCCCTCCCGACCTTTTCCCGTCCTAAGAGAGATGTCGAACGCGTTCGACCGCCCCATCCTTCCCCCGATCCCCGATCAAGGGCCGAGCTGTCTAGCGACGGGGAACGTCGTCCCCGTCGGGTGCCCGCGACCGCTCCAAGGCGGGGAAAGCGACGAGGGAAGAGTAGATGCCTTGGGGGTGATATTTTGAGGTTTGAAACCGGTGTTTCTTTTTCCTTTTCTTGTCTTGTTTTCCTTTTTGAGGTGATACATAATCTGGTACGAGATCTGAAATCAACCAATAGTTGCTCGAAAACAGCATCGCAGCGCCCCTTTGCCCGCTTGAAGACCGTGATTCGTCTGCTGGCGGCGACGTCGGACGCCTCGGGTGCTTGTGATCTCGAAAGCGCGTCACACAAGCGCACCTCATGTGATATGACAGGAAGGAGGACAGAGAGACAGAGAGGAATCGGACGCCGCCACGTAGGCGCACAGAGCCGCAAAACCCGCCCACCACTGTCCTACTCTTTCGTTGCTAACCATTCATCTCCGGGCGCCGCCGCCCCCTCCCCCAATAGGATCATCGGCGGCGTCGACAAGCGGCCGCCACAGCCGTGCCCGTGTGACCTTTGGAACAAAGGGGGAGGGACGCGAAAGAGGAGGGAATGTGCAGTTTTCACGGGCGGGTTGTTTAAAAGGGCTGCTTTTCGGTGCCAGGCCACCCCATGGATACTTGCTGGGCTGCTCCGAGCAACCCCTTTCTCTTCTCTCTCACTCAAGCATCAAGTAATAGCTCCTCTTCCGATATTCCGTATCCTTACAGAAAAGAAATCCCGGACCTACACACAGACACGCAAACAATGCCGAAGCGCAACGCCAGGAAGAAGCACCACTGTCCTAAATGTCAAAAGACGAACAAGTCAGCGTCGAGGAGGGACCACTGCCCCAAGCACCAGTGGAGCTGCGCGGACGGCCACGATGAGTTTGTGCAGCTCAAGACTGAGCCCTGTCGGATGTGCCAGAGGAAATACAACGGGTAGAATTGCTACGTGTGTGGTTAAAGGCAAGTAAAAAAAAGCATAAGTTTGTGATAAATCTGGAGAGGAAACGGAGAACTGGCTACCTACCTCCCCTTCTCCCTCGTTTCCATAACTAACAAATGGACAAGGGGCGAGCTTCTGTTCATCTCTCGGGCGACGACGAGGGTGAGGATGATTCTAAAAAGGACGAAGTGAACATTGATAACATTTGGGTTCAATTTGGCTGTAAAAAGCCCGGCTCTCAGGAAGCAAGGTGTGCCAGTGTACGTAGATCTGGAGGCTCCCTGCCTTTGTATATGCGTGGCGTTCCGGACCACTGCTCTACCGGTGCCGAGCCCCCAGCCTACTCGTTGGTGATGCCCTCTTTCATGACAGGAGCTTTCAGGGACCCAAGTCGCCCTCCTCGCCGTCGTCGCCGCCGCCCGTCAGCGCCACATCCTTGTCCACCCCTTGGGTGGCTTGTGGCGTCAGCCCAGAGTGTGGGTCGTGGTGGTCTCCATCAAGAGCGCATTTCTTTTGCGTGTCTAGGTTGTCGTTATTACTGTTGTTGTTATCTTCGTCGTAGTCGGAAGAAGGCAGGGCCTCCGCCGCCTCGCTATACCGCTCGGGGATGTAGTCGAGGCGGCCCGAGTAGGGCAGTCCCGTGCCGTCCTTGAGATCCTGTGCGTAGAACTTCGCCAGGACCCCGAGGGGCTGGCCGTCGTCGAGCGGCATGGACATGAACGCGTCCGCGAAGCCGTTAAGCGCATAGCACTTGTTGTTCATGCACGCGATAAAGGTAGATCGAGCCTCGGCGTTGGGCAGTTGCTCGTGAATAGCCCGGACGAAATGGGCGCGCAAAGTGGCGTTATCGGCGTACAGCTCCGGGGACCACGAGACGTCCTGGATGAAGATGGGGTAATCGTAGAGGAAGTAGCGCGGCCCTGTGAAGGCGTACTCGAAGTCGATTAGGCCGGTGAGCTTGGGCCCTCCCGAGGAGCCGTCGTCGGCTGGGTTCACAAACATCATGTTTTGGCCGTCAAAGTCGTCGTGGATGAGGCAGAACGGCGGCTGGAGGTAGGGAAGTGGCGGGTCGTCTTGTGCGAGAAAACGCTCGAGCGCGGCCCAGGCTTCTTGGCATGGATCTGGAGATCCAGGCGGCGCTTCGGCCGAAGACGAGCCGGGAGCAGCAACAGCCGGGAGGAAAGACCGCATCCACTGGCCCGTCGAGCGGAACGGGCCCTTGGGCTCGTCAAAGCAGGGGCTTATAACGGGCCCGACGGCGACCGCGCCTTGCTCGTCGTCTGCGAGGGACCCGATCTGGTCGAACTCGAGGCACGACAGCTGCGCGACGACGGAGGCGATCTGCGAAAGCACCATCTTCTTGCCGTCGAGCGACAGGCCGTCCCAGATCTTGTTGAGGTTCCGTCCCGGCATCCGCTCCATCAGCACGAGCGGGGCCCCGACGTCGTTGTCCGGGTCCAGGTCGTGGTAGTAGATCTCGGGCACGGGGATGGACGAGTAGCGCCTGATGTACTGCGCCGTCGCGATGTCGCTGGCGGACTTGGCCCGCGTGTTGCTGCCGAGGCGGCTGAGGCGCGCAATGCACGAGAAGCCCGCGTGGACGAGGGAGGGTGGTGTGGCATCTGTGGCATCTTCTGCTCGGAACTTAAGTGCGAAAATCTCATGGCCGACCCCGCGAGTGAGCTTTTTGGCGGAAGTGCATTTGACTTTGAGCGCCTTGCTGGCGCAGTCCATGAGCCTGGCTAGGTCGAGCTCGAGCTCGGGCGGCTCGTCCGATTCGTAGGAATCGTCGGCGCTGGAGTACGAAGACATGGCGAGGGTGGGTGTTTGGCAAAGGTGCGGATGTGGGCATAGGAAAATAAAAGGGAGGAAAGGTAGCTATTTGTACTCTTACGCGCGCCGCCGCCTTGTTGTGCGTGCTCGCTTTTCGAAGCGGGCATCGAATTGATTGATAATTGCACTGTACCTGTAGGTACCTACGTACCTATGTAGGTATGTAATTCGGTAACAAGAAGACGGCACGACACAGTGCTGTTGCTGCCCAAGCAGCTAGCCGCCATCTGCCTCCTCGTGTCGCTCAATGTCGGCATACCCAGCCCACACTGCCTTGTCCTGATTCACAGCCCAGCCTCGGATGCCCTAGCAGATGTTCAATATATAGAGCGACTACAGGAAAGAAATAGGTTGACTCTACTGTCACAACGCCGGGCTATTTTAACACAAAATCATCACTACACCCGTGTGAGAATAATAATAAAGGATCACGGTGCTTCAGGTAGGCCGGTGCGCGCCACAGCTCGTTATCCAAAAGCACGGATCTCTATTGAAATTTGGCAAAAGGTACTTGGAAACTCTATGTTGCACTCTCCTATTTTGTGTCAAAATACCTACCTAGGTCGCCAGGCGTTGTGTTGGTGTAGCCTGTAGGTAACCCGCAAAGAAATTTCGTAGCACAACCGCGCGACCCGGTCGAAGTGTTTGACCAGAGGTTCACGACGCCCACGTCCGCGCCCAGGGCCTTGTCCTCCGCGGCGTCGATCATGTCGTGGCTGCCCCGCGCCTCGTACTCGGCCAGCGCGATGGCGGTCTGGCATGCGTTGCGGATCTGGCGGCCGTTCCAGCCCCCCCCCGGGTTCCCGACCCAGTACTTAGTAATAAAGCCGATAACCGGCCCTTGCTCGACGACCAGCCTCCAGGGCCACGGGACCCATAGCCAATAAGGGAAAAGGAGATAGCGCTATTGGAAGCTGTTGATGATCAGGCCAACACACGTGGGATTGAACAAAAGGACACGACAATAACCAAAAGAAAATGTTAAACCAGTAGCCCGGCTTCAACAATAAAATTCTCTCAGTTCCGCCAGTCCTGCGTCTTAGGGGAACAGCAAGCCGCTAAGATCGGGGAAAGCCCTTGGTTAAGCCTTTGGGATCGTGACGCACGACACCATGCAATAACCAGGGTTACTAAAACCTCAACCGCGAAACTACATATGAAGGATGACTTGGGGAAACAAGCACATACGACCATACCCACTGGAATATACGGGATCCCGTCCGCTCTCCCCTA